GGTGTGGCAGGTTCGGAGATACCAAGGTCGGTTTGTTGATAACGCCGTGGTGGAAGTGCCAGAGTAACGAAAAGACCCACCATTCCGATTGGTTCGCACAAATATATTCTCATCCACCCATTGTTTTTCCAGATGCCAGAATAGGCGCCAATAGCACAAAAGTGAGTCAGCTGAACTTCTCAGCTCCTCCACGCACAGCACAACCAAACCAAAGCCGTCCCGCACCTCACGCCGAACTAAAAAAACTCATGAACGAACTAGCGCCACGCCAACCACCACCCAGAAAGCACGAGCACGCCCACGCTAACCAGCAGGTCCAACCAAACCTCACCATAAAAAATACGCGCCCTTAGCGAAATCGTTTGCAATACAGATACAGCAACCAATATACATATTTTCACTGTCAGAATCCCAACCACTAGACCATTGGGATAAAAGGGCTTGTTAAATAGCGGGTCAGTGCGCCCATAACCCCCCAGGCCAACGTGCCTGTAACCCTTCCCTAGGATCAATCGGGGATCACCAGTGGACCTCTGACACCCCCCCGCACTGGGATGCCCGAAGTGCATACACTGGGATTCGAACCCGAGACCTTCGCTCTGATACCATGTCAGAATCCCAACCACTAGACCATTGGGATAAAAGGGCTTGTTAAGTAGCGGGTCAGTGCGCCCATAACCCCCCAGGCCAACGTGCCTGTAACCCTTCCCTATGATCAATCGGGGATCACCAGTGGACCTCTGACATTCACCCAACTTTGTCTTTGTGTTCTGTACCATGAATGTACATCATGGGGTTGGCTGGATGGATAAGGCGGGGACACATTTCGTTCGAGCCGCCTCAACATCTTCGCCACGCGCCCTTGGGGACTGTCCCCTGCCGCCTAGTCGGCGAGGCATTTCATTGGCCAATGGCAAAAGCCACCGTCAGATGCAAGCCCATGCCCGAAACGGATGAAATCGTCACCGTTGAGGGCCACTGCACCACCACCATCCATCCATTCGAAACACACTCTGCTTATTGTCGCACCGCGCACCCAGCCTAGTGTCAGTGATTCCCTCCCACCCGAGCAGTTCAATAATATCGACCCCTTCCCACCGCACTGCACCAAGGAAAATGCTTCAGCTTTCTACTACTCATACTTCACTGACCCATTACATTTGGGTTGATGCCACTGTCGGACGCACCATGGCGGCTGAATTGCTGATTTGAATTCAGTCTCATCCATTCAGCCGCAGCAGCCTCCTCTTCCTTCTGTTGCAGGTTCTACCTTTTGCTATCTTTCTGAGCATGACTATCCAAGTTCTGTCAATGTCGTCCATTTCCATCCTTCTCATCTCAAACTCACGAAGGATATTCAGAAAGCTCCAACCCAATGAGCTTAGACTTCAGGCCAGAAGCTCCCCGGAGCAAGCAAAGCTAGCTGAAGTCACCTAGTTGGTACACGGTGAAGCCCGAGGCACAGCAGCGTTGAGTTAGATTAGAGGTCGGGTTGGTGGGTGGGTAGATTAGAGGTCGGGTGGGTGGGTGGGTATATTAGAGTCCGTGAGAGAGTGAGCTGCTAAGTGTCAAAGGCCAAACCGTGTGCTACTAGGAATTATCGCGGCAACCTTTTCACCGCGACTATTTCATAATCTCCTACGCAAGATCTAGATGGCGAGCATCTTTTGCAAGCTCTTTTCATTAAACTCGCCGTGGAGGAGATTTTACTTCGCGATCTATGCTCCAAGAGCGGCTAAAGAGCGGATGGTGCTTCAAACTCAAGCTTCGTAACCCAAGCAAAGCGGGACGCATTCAAGCCAACCTGAAGCCGATTTGTCCAACCCCAACTCAAGATTTGACTCTCACCGTCTCATTGCCGTTGGCGCTTCAAGCATGAAAGCCGTGAGGACTCGAACGTCACGGACCTGAAAGGCCGGACTCGCCAACTTCCGTTGCGGAAGGATCCGTCTCGGCAACCGTCTCGGCGACCGTCTTGGCGACTCGAAAGCAGCTCAAGCGACAACGCAGCAACGATCGCCGACACTTTATGTGCTTCATGGTACCCCCGTGGCGCCTCCCCTGCTGGTGCAGCCTCTCCCGTCTCCGGTGGAGTGGTGGTAAGTGCTGTTGCCGTTTCATAAAATCGTCTTAACAATCGCGCGTCGTTTGCTTTTCACGTGCTTTTGAGAAAGTTTCTAACCCAGTTCACGTTGTTCCTTGCAGACGAGCGGCTTGCCGTTTATGGGAGCATCTTCTCTCGCGGGAGGCGTTCGAAGAGCAAGTCAAACGCTTCTCTTGGCGAGCCGCCAAGATTCTTCCACGGCGAGCCGCCTTGGCCACTCGAAATCGACGATGCAGTCACTCTCGTCGCTCGCGGCGCCTCCCCTGCCCCGTCGCGACGCAATGGAGGTAAGCGCGTTGTTTTAACAATCGCCCGTCGTTTGTTTTTCTGCAGCATCGTTCTTACCAAGACTCACCCTTTTTGGGAAACAAGCTGACTAATCTGTTGCCGTCTCCTGCAGGTCCCTTAACGACGATTGACCATCGCCTTGGCGAGACGCGATTACTTCAGCGAGCCTTAGCGAGAACCTGCAGAACCTTACCGTCCGCCAGCGTCGCACGGCGACGCACGGGGAAGCACGGCGACGCACGGAATGACGGATGGCGACGCAAGGGGAGGCGCTACACAGCCGCGCTTCGAGACTCGCGGAGATGCGGAAAGGCATGCGTGCGAATGGCGACGAATGGCGGCGACGAATGGCCTCGGCGAAGCTTCCTTGTGCGCGTCTCACGGACAGCATGATGTGGACGCATGTGTCGCTACCAGCAGCGCCTCGTTGGTGCTGAGGTAACTTGTTTAGCAATTAGTTCGTGTTTTGGCTTTTTTCTGATCAGGAATCTTCGAAGGTTTTTTAACGGATCTCGTTTTCTTCCTGCAGAAACGGAGTAGCACGGAGACGCACTGCGTACGGCAGCGCATGGCAGCGTACGGCGCACGGCGCACGGCGGAGAAGCACGGCGACCAACGCCTCCGCATGGGTCTCACGGGCGGCGCTTGGCGGTGCTTCGACCGTCGCTACCAGAAGCGCCTTGCTCCGAGTCGGGCTGAGGTAACTTGTTAAACAACTCGCTCGGTGTTTCAGTTTCTTTCTTTTTAGCTTCTTGCTTCCTGCAGTTATTGACGGCTCTTGCTTTCTTCCTGCAGAAACGGAGGAGACGCACGGGGCATGGGGACGCAAGGGGCGTACAGCGCGCCTCGGGCGGAAAGCGTGTCTCGCGGGCGGAAAGCGCGACGTGCGGGCGGACGGCGCTTCCGGCGGGCGGACGGCGCGTCTAACGGGCGGCCAGCGCGTTTAGCGGGCGGATGGCGGACTCCCTCACATGGTAAGGTGCAGTTTCAATTTCCATTCGTTTTTTTCCCCGGATTCTAACCTTTTTCGTTGAATTCTCTCTTAGCGCAGGACCAGGGAAGCGGAAGCGGCGCTGCCGACAACGGGACTTGAAGCTACGCCGACTTCCTCACATGGTAAGGTGCAGTTTCAGTTTCCATTCGTTTATTTTCCCGGATTCTAACTTTCTTCGTTACTTTTCCTCTTAGCGCAGGACCAGGGGAGCGGCGGGAGCGGCGCTGCCGGCAACGGGACTTCAAGCGACGCCGACTCCGGCGCTGGCGGCGGCAACAAGGGAGGTCAACGGGGACTTCCTCATGCGCAGGTGACGACGAGGAGGCGGGGAGAAGCGGACCGAGGAGGCGGAGCGAGGAGCAAGGAGCGAGGTTGGAGGAGTTTGACTCCCCCCTCCCGTCCCGCCCTTCCCTGCAGCTTTGGCGGGAGCAGGAGCAACCAGCACAAGCGCCAGGCGTGTAAGATGTGTTTGGGTGTGGGTGGGTACTGGACGTTTAGGAGCGATAGGCCCTCGATTAGGCACATGCACATGGGCGATAATTTTGGGTCATCATGGCAACTCCTCGTGACAACCAACAGGAATCGTCGGATCCGAGGTCTGTAACAGGACGTTTAGGAGCGCGCGTTCGATTAGGCACAATCACGTGGGCGATGGGATGGGTGGTGGTAAGGTGTGTTCAGGTATGCCTCTTTCTCTTGACGGCTGGCCGTCATCCTGACGACACTCTGACAACAATTGTCCGACCCGAAGTGCTAATTTATTCATCTGCCCGTGTTTCTAGCTTTGACCGTTTCCCCCCCTCCCAAGCAGGCCCCACGCGAATGGCCCCCACCTCATCGTGGTGCGTGGGTGTAACGTCAGGGGCATTTGCCTCTGACGGCCAAGAGGGGTCAAGAAGACTTTGAAGCTGCTGCTGTGGACGCGCAAGAAGACTCTGTTTGGTCAAGAAGAGTCAAGCTGCTGTGGACGCGCAAGTGGATCTGCTCTGCTCACACTTCAGCATAGGAAGCTTAGAAGGCTTATTAGCTACAGTTCCTGTTCTGACTTGTATCTAGTTATTTACAGTAATATAATAGCGTTTGTACTTTTCAACGATGGTACTATTAAGAACTCCTCGGTGTCTAGTTATTAATTTGAGATGAATAAGTCAAATGCACGTATATTGCAGTTTGTACCAGCAAACACCCTGCGAAAGTGCAGTTTTGACAACCCAATACTCAGAGTAGTCTACCTAAAGCTAGCACCTAACGCGTCACGTCACACACTCCTCTCGAGAGAAAGCATGCCTGGTGCTACCGAATGCGTTACCAAGTGCGCTGCCTAATGCGTTACTTAATGCGCTGCCTATTGCTCTACCTAGTAATGCGCTACTGCTACTATCTCTGACGGCCGTCGCGGGGGACGCGGACGGTTTCGCCGAGATCGCACATGGGCTTCGCTGGCGTCGCCGTCGTCGTCGCAGCGGGGCGGCCGTCGCAAAGCAGCGCGTTCGAGTGCGACGAGTCGCAGACCGCCAGGTACTCCGCGCCGTTCGATCCCCGTACTCCCCCTCCCCCTCTCTCCTTTCCGCCCTTCCCCGAAACGATCGTCATGGGAATCCCGTGTGGCAACCAATGTCGATTGGGCGCCTGAACAGTCGTGTATGTGCGCCGATTCGCACTTCCTCACGCGCTATCCAGCTCCTGAATCCAGCGCGCGTCCCTCGTCCCTCCCCCCATGATCGCCTGCTCCCTCCGCTAGCAATCGCGCGCCTGCACATGGTTCCCCCACTCCTATTCCCCAACGGCCCCCTACTCTCCCTTTCCCCCTCTCCCCCTTCTCCCCCTCTCCCCCTACTCCCCTTTCCCCCTCTCCCCCTCTTCCCCTCTTCCCCTCTTCCCCTTCCCCCCACCTCCCCCCTTTCCCCCGCATCCGCCCCCCAGCCACTGCGCCATCCACACGGTACCTTGCCAACCTCCCCCCTTTACCTCGCAACATGCCTCTGCCTCGCCATGGGGAATCTTTGGGAGCAGCTGAGCAAGGCTCGCCTCCACCTGGCGGAGGCCATGGCTCTCGCGCGCCACTGGGGGCGCACGCTCGTGCTGCCACGTGTCTGCAGCAGCCACATCGGCGGCAACAACCTGCCACGTGGCATGATCCCCGCGTGCGCATACTTTGACATGGTGGGAGCTGATGGGGCGGTTTGTGCCGTGGGTGCACGAGGAGTATCTCTGGTGCCCGCTTGGGAGGGGCGCGGGGGAGCGAGCTCCGGGGAAAGGGAAATGCTCGCTCTCTTCCAGGGTCACGAGTATCAGGAGAGCTCATGCAGGCAGCAGGGCAACGCATCTTCAGGGAGAAGTAAGCACCCATCCCAGCTGCTCCTGCCCTCACCATCAGGTTTCTTTCTCAGTGCTTTGTGCTTCTGCTTCTCCCCAAACAGCTTGTCCCCTCACCTGGCTGTTCTCCTAGCTTGCTCCAACTCCCCCTCTGCTATTTGGCAGCCACAGTCGTACCATTCTGCTCTGAAATGCACAGCTGCTGTTCCTAGCTTGCTCCAACTCCCCCACTGCATTAGCGTGGATGAGTCTGTGCCTGTGCCTGTCCCTGTGCCTGCACATGCCTCTGCTATGCACGGTGCGCACAGCAACGAGCGGCTGGGCAGCAACATGGATGGGGATCTGCACAACCTGCATGGGGACGAGGCATTGCAGCACCTGCACCTGCACCTCACGCTCCTGCAAACCCTACCCAGTCAGTCCCCGCGCTCCCCACTTGCCCCTTCCCATGTGCCTGTTGAGTCAACTCAAATGACACCTGCCTAGTCAGTCCGCTCCCTGCTCACATCGTCCCATACTCCTCTTCCCTCCTCGCTTCATCGCATCGTTTCTGCCCCTCGCGCCATCCCATGCCACTCTCCCCTTGCCTTTCCTCCCTCATATCGCTTTGCGGCGTATCGACACCCCACAGCACCCCTCTCCACCCCTCCGTCTCTCCAGTCTCTCTGCATCTGCTCTTCTCACGCCTCTCTCTGGTCCGTTCCCTTCCCAAGCTCGTTCATGCTGTGCCAGGAAACCTTTTCCCACAGACTTGGCGTGTGGGGGGGTGGTGCTTGATGCTGGTGATTGTGACTCGGTGGGTGCTGTTCTATTGTCTGGGATGTGTGTGTGTGAGGTGTGTGTATGCATGGGGTGCTGCATGAATGCTCTGCTGCATGCATGGTACCTTGCTGCTGTGTGCAGCTCTGAGCAGCTCTGAGCAGCATAACAGTCATCACAGGTAGGGGCAAGCACAGCGCCTCTAGGCAAGCCAAAACCAAACCCGTGGTAAGGTTGGGGAAAAAGGGGGAAGGGAAAGGGATGTCGGAGTAGGCGGAGAGTGGGTGGGGTTCACTGCACCAAATCATCCCCAGTCTGACTTTCTATGATGCCTTGGGAAGGGATGGGTAGATTTCTGGCCGTGAGGCTCTTGCTTAGGGTTACTTTCAAGAAGATGTGATATCTCTGATGCGACAGCATATGATGCACATAGAGCTATGCTGCACGTGCGTATAACGCACATGATGCTCTCAATCTCAATGATTACCTCACCATCCCCCTGCAGCCACGGTGCGTATCTACCAGGTGCACCGGTACTTGCAGGAGAGAGAAGTGGGGTGGCAAGAGCAGAACACAGGAAGCATCCGAACCGAATCACTCGCTACAATCTACCTCCAGTTCCTATCCGTAGATGACCACTTCGAGTCCATGCATGGCTGTGTGGCAGCTCTTGGGATGCCTCGTAACAGGCAGCATCACAACAACCCACCTCCCGATCCAATTCCGTAGACGATCACTCGAGTCAGTCTATCCAGATTCCACACCAGCCCATGCTCATTCTGACAGGTGAGAGTCGAGGGAGTGAATCGGATCAAAAGAATCCACATTACCCGCTACAGCTTTGCCTCAAGATTCATTCCCTAGATGATCACCTCAGCAGGTCCATGCACATTGCATCGTGGTTGATTCTGGATGGAAGGTAGATAGCATGCTGGTTCAATAGGAAGCGAGCCCAGGAGCCCAGGAGCCCAGGAGCCCAGGAGCCCAGGAGCCCAGGAGCCAAGCCAGAGACGACCGGACGAGGCCATGACTAGCTTTGGATGTGATAGGTGTACGCAACGCACGGTGGAGTGCACACATTCGTGTTTGGAACGTGTTGAACGTGCTCAGTAGCGAAACATTAAACGCGTTGTCAATGCAGCGTGTTTCAGCATGCGACAGGAGGCAAGCATCAAGGAGCAAGCGATGCCATGGCGACCGAAGGAGTAGCTCGTCAGGCAGGAAAAGCTGTGTGCTAGCTAGGTAGGTGGGAAGTCTGGGCCGGGCGGCCGGGCCCGGGGAGGATGAGGCAGGGGTCACAGCAATCGAGTCAAGGTTGGAACTTGGAACAGACTACCATACATGCAGCGTGAGTACCTATCACATGGTATCGTAAGATGTACGGTAAAAATGTAACCCCAGACACAATGCACTCACACCACCATGCCAGAATCACGAAGGCCTGCATCACTACAAGTCGTGAGTGATATCAGCCTGCAGAAGCTACTAGACAGACCAGGGTGGTCGAGTGCTAAAGCTATTTGGCAAGCACAAGTTCCCGGCCCTTGCAAAATTGCAATCCTACCGTGGTTGCCTGCCATGCCATACTTTGGCATCTCCCCTGCCTGCCCCATTCCAATCTACCTGCTTCCCTAACTGCATCACACGCAGCTAGCAACTGATCACACATAGTGAACCAGCAGCATCGCATCCACTTGCACTACCTCTTTGCCCCTCTGATCCGTGCCGATGCTGCCCCACCACCCCCACCCCCTCTTGACTCCGCCCGCGCCACGCCCCTATCACCCACTGCAATCGTCTTGGTGCGCCGGAACGACTCAGACCGTGACGACGATCCCGAGGCCAGGCTCCTCTTGAACCCTCCCCCTGAGCTGCTCTCCTTCATGCTCCCCAGCCGCCCCATGCTGTTGCCCCCCTTCACGCGCACCGACGCGCGGCCCACATCCCCTCGTAGCGAGTCTATACTCGCCTCTAGCAACCGCATGCGCGCATCCATGCGGTCAATGGCGGCACGCATGGAGTCCAGCGACGCGTGGTTGTCGTTCTGCTTCGCGCGCACCTGCTGCAGCCGGTCCGTGTGCATGGCGCGGCCGATAGGGATCCAGTCGTAGTTGGACGCGTCTAGGTGCGCGCGCACGAAGGACTCGAGACCCGTGTACTCAGTGGGGTTGCGCTTGAGGAGATAATCGATGTAGAAGAGGTAGTGCAGCGGGTTGTGCTCGTGCGCTATGTGCTCCACGAACCCCCCCAGCCGCTGCTCGAATGCAAACCGGTCGATGCTGCACACAAAGCACTTGTCGTCTGCATGGCAGGGAGGGAGGGAGGGGAGGGGGATGGATGATGCAAAAGGGGGGGAGGTGGGTGGGGGGTGAGGGAAGGCTGAGAGCTTGGTGAGCGTTTGGCGAAGTGGGTGGACTGAGGGTGAGAGAAGATGAGCAGCAGCAGAGAGAAAAAGGTGGGGATATGCGTGTCACAGTAGACGATATACATGGAGCACTTGGGAAGACTGATGGGTGGAAAAGGTGGGGCACTCACCGAGGTCCTTTTCCTTGGCTGCTTTCTCATCTCGAATGGAGGTGAAGGCATCGACAATCTGGTTCTCATACGTGAGGGAGATGAACACACACAGATGGCAATGACAGAGAGGCCATGGGGGTGGGCCAAGTGAGAACTAACACACGGCTTGTGCACCATGCATTGTGAAGCGGTGCTGAGCTGAGTTCACCAGGCAACCAGAAACAGAAAACGCGTGCAAATGCTCGTGGTAAATAGCAGTGTACATGCTCACAAGGCACAGCAGAGCAGAGTGCAGCATGGTGGGGCACTGGAAACATGGTTCAGCAGCTCTATGTCACACTCACATGCACACACACACACACCTGTCCAGTGAAGATGTTCTGCAGCAGGAAGACCCAGACGATGAGGAAGGAGACAATGAACACGGTGCGCAGCTGCCGCCACACATCCGTCACCACCGACGTGGGCACCGTGTCCCACGCCTGCCACAGCCCGCCAATGCTGCTGCTCGCTATGGCATTCACGAGATGCAGTCCTATGCACTCGTAGAGCGTGGTGCAGGCAAAGTCGTCGTGACCGGCAAATGCGAGGAAGGAGACGATTGAGTACATGAAGATCACGAGGATGCCCACGAGGCCCGTGCGGATTAGTAAAGGGCCACCCACATACGCGGACTTGAGCACAATGGCGCCCGAGGGATGGTAGATGATAAAGTCGAGCAGGTGGAAGACGAAGAAGAAGGGCGACACTGATAGCCCCAACACACTGCGAAACAAGGAAAGATGGAACGGGGGATGGGGGAGGGGGAAGAGGAGGGCGGAAGGGGGAAAGGGGAAAGTGGGGAGGGAGCAACGGGCCAAAAGAAGGCAGGGATATAGGGATGCAGGCGGGCATGCTGTGATGCTCTGACTGGTGCTGAGAGGAGCTGGTGCAATGATGCACGGAGAGCGTGTGGGGGAGGCGAGGGAGAGATGCGCACCTGGCGACGACCATGAGCACGGAGTACCAAAAGTCGAGGTTGCGGAAGAGCAGTGACTTGGGCACGCCTCGCAGGTCCATGGACTCGTTCAGCCGCTGGTCCAGACCTGCCTCCCCTGCATCCACTGCTGCCCCATCGCCCCGAGTCATGCGCTCTGCTCCCAGCCCATGCACGCACACACCCAACACACACACACGCACACATAGGCATATGCAGACCACAGATTATTATATGCCCCAAGACCACATGCAAAAAAAAAGGGTCAGAAAAAACGCTGCCAATAATAGTAACAAAACAGAACCAGCCCCATGCCCTTCCCCACTCCACCCCCCCTTCCCCAGTCTAACCAACCACGCTCGCACCCACACCCACTGCCCACCCGCACCTGAGATATCGGCCTCTCGCTCATCCCCAGCAACATCCTTCAAAACAAGCAGCGGCGACTCGAGCCAGATGAATCCCACAAGCGCCAGGCTCGTCACCAGCAGCTGCAGCAGCCCCAGCACGCGAATGAGCGCGAGCGCAAAGGCATAGTGCGCCCAGGGCTGCATGGTCTGCCCGTAGCTGAAGACTATGAGCGTGACGATGAGGATGGAGGTGTAGAAGGGCAGGCGCTTGATCTGCGGCAGCATGTCCTGCAGCCAGCCCGCCCACGGGTGCCGGTGCCGCATGCGCTCGTAGTGCTGTAACTTCAGCACCAGCACTCGCGCCGCCCGCATGAAGTGCTGCACCTTCTGCTTGTCGGGTGGCGAAGGGGGGGGAGCAGGAAGAGCAGAAGGGAGAGGGAAAGGAGAGGCGCGACGGGAAAAAGGGAGGGGAAACAGAGACAGAAGTGAAGATTCAGGGAAAGCAGGGAGGGGGTTTTGGGAACACACAGTCACCTGCAGCAACGGCGCCACTCTATTGCGAAGGTCAAACAGCGTGACCAGGCGACTGGATCTCACTGCAAAGCAGTGCTGATGGTGATGCTGATGGTGATGCTGATGGTGATGCTGATGCTCATGCTGATGCTGATGCTGATGCTGATGCTGCTGCTGATGCTCATGCTCATGCTCATGCTGATGCTGCTGCTGATGCTGATGCTGATGCTGATGCTGCTGCTGATGCTGATGCTGATGCTGATGCTGATGATGATGCTGTTGAGATGTTGATGCTGATGCTGATGCTGATGCTGCTGATGCTGAGATGTTGATGCTGATGCTGATGCTGATGCTGATGATGCTGAGATGTTGATGCTGACGCTGATGCTGATGCTGATGCTGCTGATGCTGAGATGTTGATGCTGATGCTGATGCTGATGCTGATGCTGCTGAAGCTGAGATGCTGATGCTGATGCTGATGCTGATGCGCTGATGCTGATGCGCTGATGCTGATGCTCTGATGCAGATGCGCTGATGCTGATGCGCTGACGCTGATGCGCTGATGCTGATGCGCTGATGCTGATGCGCTGATGCTGATGCGGTGATGCTGTTGCTGATGCTGATGCGCTGATGCGCTAATGCTGATGCGCTGATGCTGATGCGCTGATGCTGATGCGCTGATGCAGATGCGCTGATGCTGATGCGCTGATGCTGATGCGCTGATGCTGATGCGCTGATGCTGATGCGCTGATGCTGATGCGCTGAGGCTGATGCGCTGATGCTGATGCGCTGATGCTGATGCGCTGATGCTGATGCGCTGATGCTGATGCGCTGATGCTGATGCGCTGATGCTGATGCGCTGATGCTGATGCGCTGAGGCTGATGCACTGATGCTGATGCGCTGATGCTGTTGCTGATGCTGATGCGCTGATGCTGATGCGCTGATGCTGATGCGCTGATGCTGTTGCGCTGATGCTGATGCGCTGATGCTGATGCGCTGATGCTGATGCTGCTGAAGCTGAGATGCTGATGCTGATGCTGTTGCTGATGCTGATGCTGAGATGCTGATGCTGATGCTGATGCTGAGATGCTGATGCTGATGCTTTTGCTGATGCTGTTGCTGATGCTGAGATGCTGATGCTGATGTTGATGCTGATGCTGATGCTGATGCTGTTGCTGATGCTGATGCTGATGCTGATGCTGAGATGCTGATGCTGATGCTGGGGACGGTGGCGGTGCATATGAGTGAGTGCCCTCTGGTGCATGCATGTGGGAGGGTGCATGTGGGGGTGCGTGCACGGACCTGGATGGGGTTTTCCCGGGGCACGTCATACAGCTCCTCCAATGCTGCCATGGTCCACACGGGGTCGCGTGACAGGCGGCGGCACTCGGCCGTGAGAGGGAAGTAGACCTTCTCCAGCTGCCCCTCGCGCACCACCTCAATGGCGCACGACGAGTGCGAGAAGAAGTTCTGCAGCTCTGAGTCGCTCACAGCCAGCGTGTGGCCGAAGCACAGCGTGCCGCACCGCTGCGGCTTGTCGCACTTGAGAATCGAGTACGTGCACGTCGCAAACATCGCTCTGCGCCCGCCCGCGCCCGACCAATCGCGCGCTGCCAGCGCAGCGCTGCTGCTGCTGCTGGCGTTGCTGGCTTCGCTACTAGCGAACATCCAACGGTCGAAATCGTCTAGCTTGATCATGATCATGAGAGAGTTGAGCACTTCGGATGGCAGCAGGTGGTTCAGAGCATCTGAATTGAACGTCATCCACAGCGGCAGCTTCGACCCTTCCTGCCGTGATGCACCCTCCTGCTCACCCCCACTGCCTGCTGCCCTGTCCCCTCCCTCGCCCATCCCACCTCCGCTGCTACCCGCACCAGCACCACCACTCCCGCCGCTGCTGCTGCCACCGACGCCACTGCCGCTGCCGCTGTTGCTTCCCCCGGGCGCTGCCGCAGCACCAGTACCCCCCCATTTGCTGCCACTGGCAGCGGAATTCCCACCACCAGCACCACCACCACTACCAGCACCAGCAGCGGCGGCAACAGCAGCAAGTCCAGTGGCTTCGAGCATCTCAGAAAGCGAGAGCGTGGAGCGGCCGCGGAACCTGCGGGCTGCCGTGGAGGAGAAGGCGTCAAACTCGTTGAGGATGGTGCCGCGCACGTAGCGGCAGCGCTGCAGCAGCGCTGAGAAGTCAATGACTGCGGCCATCTTGCTGGGGATCTCGTGGTTGCTGCCGATCTCCTCCAGCAGGGAGAGGTACACTGACAGGATGCCGTTGCGCACCCATGTGCGCAGGTCATTTGGCCCAAGCTGGGGGGATTGCGAGCGTGGGGTGGGGGAGGGGAGAGTTACGGCAAGGAGGGAGCGTCAGATGTATAAAAAATGGTCACGTCATGTGAGGAGGAAACGATGCAGGTGCGTCTGATTCTGCTCGACTTAGGCAGTGAAACGCAGAAGCAGGCATGGGCATGCGAACAGCAACCGACGCCACCTGCAACCACCCTCTGTGGAGAACAAGCCCAGATCTACTCCCAGTCCCATCAACCCATGATGACCCCCTCCAGCTTATCTCACCATGGGGCAGTCGAGGCTGCCAGCGGGTCTATCCCCGAGCGCCGTGTAGCTGAGCACTTTAGCGATCACTTCCGGGCTGAACCGCACGGGCTGCTCGCCCCCCTCCCCGTGCTCGTCGGGGGCGGGCACGCGCTCGTCACGGTACGTAAGGCTGGCCATCATGCGCTGTGTGATGGAGAGGAAGTTGGACCGCACCAGCGCCAGCTGGTTCTCAAAGCACGGACCCTGAATCGCCTCCAGGAGTGTGTTCAGGGCCTGCCGGGGAAGGGAGAGGAAGAGGGGTTGGTACGGGGCACGGGGCATGGGGCGGGGAAGAGGAGGGAGGGTGTGTGGATGCAAGAGGAAGCAAGCAGGAGATTAGTTTCTCAGGTTGGCCAGTCGTGTGGAAATCGCAAGAAGGTGAGAGCACGCCACAGAAGGAAAGTACAAACTTGTTGAGGAGGTGCTACAGGCTTACCTGAAGAGCAATTTGAGCAAACAGTGGGTTGTGCTGGGACAGGTTCTTGTCGAGCGACGGCTGCAGATGCTCCAGGAACACTATGATCTCCTGCAGCAGGTTCACACTGCGCCCGTTGCTCCCCGCACCGCTGCCCCCCGCGCCTCTCCCCCCGCCCCACGGCCCCGAGTCATACGCCATGCCCCCGCCGCCGCCGCCACCACCAGCAACAGCACCTGCTGCCATTGTGTCATCTTGGACTCTCAGCAAGCGCTGCATGCGCGCGTTGTGCCCCTCGCACAGCAGCTGAAGCATGCGCAGCACGTTAGTGACATGGCCCGACAGCACCACCCACGCCTTCTTGTGCAGCGTGGTGTCCTTGTGACTCGCCGACTCCTCCACGTTCCACAACTGGAACCCATCCTCCTCCTCCTGCTGCAACCGCCCCTCGCTCTCCTCCTCGTCCTCATCCTCCTCGCGCGTCACACTGCCCTCCACGCGCCGCCCCGCCTTGACATGAGCGTCCATGGACGCGCGCGTGCGGGGCATGGGGAAGTGCGCAGCAGACGAGGAGGAGCGCGGCAGTTCACGAGTCACAACAGAGGACACGGCGCGGCGGAACATGCGCAGGCCAGATCCGCCCTTGCTGTCACCTCCACCGCCAGCACCAGACTCCCCAGCGAACCCTCCACCAAATTCCACCTCCCCGGTCTCTCTCCTGCCACTGATGCCCCTCGAACTGGCCTTTGGGAGCCCCGGCTGCCGCGTCTTGCTGCCGCCCCTGCCGGTGGGTGTGGCCCTGGCAGCAGCAGGGGCTGTGAGAGCATCGTCTGAAGCAATACTGGGGCTGTCAGCTAGAGTGACCCGGGGAATGCGCAACGACCTGGACTTGGTAAAGGCCCGTAACGATCCTACCCGCTCCCGCTCCTCCTCCTGCACCACCTCTCCCGCCTCCTCTTGCTTCCCCCCACTGCTCGCTTCCGCTCCTCCCGCCCCACCCTCCTTTTCCTTCTGCTGCTCCACCGCTTTGGGTCCCTCCCCACCTGCTGCCTCAGTGGCAGCAGCCCGTCTCATCATGGCCGCTGCATGGAGGAGCCGCGAGCGCATAGAGGGAGTTAACACCGACCCTCCACCCTCCGCTCCCGCCGCTGCAGATGCTGCTGCTGGTGCTTCGGCTGACGCAGCAGATGCCGACGATGCAGATGTGTCGGCAGCCTGCACTCGTCCCCCTCTTGAGCTGATAGCAGAGGATGCACGAGGCATGGTCGTCGGCACACTCCTCCCCCGGAAAAACCCGCTCACGCTGCCACGGGCGCTCTCACTCCCAGCCCCCTCTCTGTCCTCCCCGAACCCCTCCCCTGCCATCTCCTGCATCTGCCGCTTCCCAGCAGCCTCCTTCCTGGCGCGCGCCTCCTGTTTATCCAGCCCCTTGCGCACAAACTTGATAGTGGCAGACGCAGCAGCTAGCACCTTTTGGACAGTGAAGAACAGCTGCCCATCCTCCACCAGAACAGCGTACATAAGATCCTGTACCTTGCTGTTTCCCTCGTCTGTGAGTGCGATCGCGAGCTTCACCGCCTCGGCTTGCACCCACTGGTTGCCGTGGCTCACGAGGCGCACGGCGCACTCTGCCAGGCCGAGGTCCGCGTATTTGCACTGCACGCGGTCAAGAGCGTCGAGAGACGACTTGGAGTAGCGCACGGGAAGGGACGCTTCAAACATCTCCCACTTGCTCATCGCCCGCGCCTTCTCCTCCGGCCGCAGCACCAGCAGCCCTACTGACACCTGCTCCTCCCGCTTCTCCCCCGCGCCTGCCGCACCAGAAGCGCCCGCGGCAGCGCCTGTGGCAGCAGGCACGGCCCCCACAGCAGCACCGAGGGAGTGCGTGATGTTGGCTACCAAGGGCTTGCGGTCGTCACTCACTAGCCACGTGGTGGAGGTCGAAGAGGCAGTGGCAGAGACAGAGGTCGGCACGGACGAGGATGCGGACGCGGAAACTCCTGCCGGGAGGTCGGATCTGGTGTCGGTGTCTTCTGTTAGGTAGATCATGGCGCTGCACACGCGCAGGAAGCGCACGATGAGGTCTGGAGTCATCTCATCGGGGATCTTGGGCGCCGAGAGCAGCAGCGTGAGCTGCCGCACAACATCGGAGTAATGGAACGGCGGCACGGAGTTCATCACCAGGCGCTGCTGCGAGAGCAGCAGAGCGAGGTCTCTAGCGCCCGACCCTTCCATGGTGTGCAGATCTGTGATCTCCAGCGTGTGTGAGAACAGGCGCGAGAAGTTCACCCAGTTGCTCTTGAACACCGCGCCTTTCCGCGCGAGCTCGGACGACTTGAGGCGCGACATTTGCCGGTCCATGGCGAAGGGCAGCAGCAGCGGGTCGTACATGGTGCCCTTGAGCGCGCCCGCCGCTTTCATCTCCTCCACGCACCGCACACACGCCTCCTGCTGCGACGCCGGCAGCTGCGAGCACAGCTCCCAGATCCCCGACACGAGCTCGTCCAACACGCGCCGGTGGGAGTCCGGGAGGGCAGCGCGGGACGTGAAATGGCGCTTGAAATAAGCCGACAGCATGGGCAGCGCTGCTGTCGTCACGTAGTGTAGCGCAGACCCCTCCGGTGCGGCGTGGTCGAAGCTTTCTTCTGCTGCAAGGCGCAGCTCTGTGACTGTGTCCTCCATGAGCGATACAGGCTGCCCCCGCATCCCCACCGTCCCGCTCATCCCACGCCACCCCGCCGCCTTCTCAGCACTCGATGGACCGGCACCCAGCTCGCTGGCACCACCAGCTGATCCAGCACGCGGCGATCTGATACCCCCGGCTGCACCGCGCCCGTCCCCTTCCGAGTCACGCGCGTCCGGCCACATGCCGTTGCCCTCGTCCCTGATCTCGGCTGTCGCTCGGTCGCTATGCCCTGTCACATACGCCTGGTGCAGCAGCCGCACATACGCAGCCTTCACCGCGTGCACCGCCTCTAGGGGAATTGCCCGGCACTCCCACTCGCTCGCCTCGCCCCGCCACGTGCGCATGGAGTTGGTCTTCCGCCACATGGCCCGCGCCTGCTCTGTCCTCGCCACCCCCTCCTCATCCTCCTCCTCACACAACCCCTCGTCGTCCTCCTCATCGTCCTCCCCCCACACATATCTCCCCGCCTCGTCAAACATCCCCTGTCCGCGCCGGCTGACCTTCAAGCTCTGGCTTCCCTTGGCCTGCAGCGACGCCCCAGCTGCTTCCTTCTGGCTCAGAATAGCAGGGAAGCTGCGCGACATGCGGGGATCAAGACGCCTTTGGGACGATCCCGAGGCCTGCAAGCGCCCGCTGCCGTTCCCACCGCCTCCCCCCCGCTTCACACCGCGAATAGAGCTGGTTTCAGATGTGACCGTGGACCACGAGTCCACCTCTTGGGTATCCCCATCCGAACTGATCTCTAAATTCCACACCTCGGACGATTCCTCTCCACCCTCCCCCCCATCCCCCTTCCGGTCCTCCTCTCCCTCCTCCCCCTCCTCGACTTCTTCCATCAGCTCCTCCTCATCCCACCCCGCGTCATCCATGTCCTCAGAATCCGCGTCCGCGCTCACAGCAGTCTCACTCGCAAGCCACAGCAGCGTGGCCATGATGTCCCCAAGCCCCACCAGCCCGCTCACTTTCACCGCGTTCGCAGGGTTGTTCCCCCAGCAGCACGCAGCAATGAGGGAGACGTACGCGGTGTGGTAGCGCAGCTGGCTGTCCACCCCTGCTGCCACGTGCTCGTTGCGCCGCATGAGAGCCTCGCGCCAGCGCCAGTGCGTGGGCGAGTGGGGCAGGCCAGAGATCTGGTCGTCGTAGTCGATTATCATGTCCAGTACCATCATCTGGTTGCGCGCTATCGGCTTCCCGTTCACCAGCACCACCGTCTGACCCGCACACGGAGGGAATGATAGAAAGCAACAGGGAATGACCGGACGACTGTGACAAGCTTGCAGGAGACGTTGGAAGGTGCCATGGAAGGTGTGGTGTGATATGCTCAAAGAGAACTCTCAGCCTGAAGAGCGGCATAAGGCACATACAGAAACTGACAGAGAACAAGCAGGACCACAGATACCAACCCTTTCTTTGACCCCAACTCCTCCTCCACTCCTAACGCCCCATGCCCACTTTCCCCTCTGCCCCATCCTTCACAACTCCCCCCTAAGCCCCCCTTTCTCTCCCCTAGAACCCTGGCAGACCTCGAGGAACTGCAGCCAGGTGGCACGCTTGCCGTAGCGCAGGATGAGCTTGATGCAGGCCCACAGGTGGTCGTGCGACACGGTGGAGCAGAGCTCGTAGTTGTCCTTGAGCATCGCGCACAGGAGCGCCATCACGTTCAGCGACGCCAGCCCCCGGTGCGGCAGGAACACGCCCATGTGCGCGTGCAGGGCTAGCTGCAGCTCCTCGTTCACCACCCCCGCACAGAACTGCGCTCGGAAAGCGGGGGAAGAGGGGTTGGGATGGGACGGGGAAGCGGGTGGAGGCGGGGATGGGTGCGGCAGGGATGGTTCAGAGAGGGGTTGCAGCGTGGGACGTAGGACGAGTGTGCGGTGTGGTGCGGGATACAGAGTGTGTAAATGCATGGTTGATGCAGTGTGGGAAGTGGAAAGCAAGAGACAGGGAAGAGGATGGTGAGGTGATCGGACGTGAGAGGAGGTGGGGGCAGGCGAACAGGCAGGCAGAGAAAGGACAGACCATGGCGAGGAACTGGTAGGCGGCTGAGAAGAGGTCCTGCAGGCCCCTGTCGCTCATGCAGTCCATCACTCCCGGCTCGTGCGATGCCACTCTGCGGAAGGGCGTGCGCAGCAGGTCCACTGCATGCATGCGCGCACCGCGGGAGGAGGCGGGGCAGAGAGTGAGAGAGTGCGAGGGGCCGAGGGAAGGTGGAACACAAGGGATGACAGTAGTGCAGGTACGAAAGGGCTGCATGTGTCTCGAAAAAGGAGACCAACACATGGATGCACGCATGATTGGGCCACACGGGTGATTCTACTTCTGCTGAGCGTGAGAAGAAAGCATAGTAAGGTGGGGGTTACCGGAGCAGAGGTGAGCGCCGACAGTCTGCAGGATGGTCTGGTGCTTGAGCACCTGTGCTTCGTTCTGCCCCGGCCCCACCGTGCACATGGCCTTGAACCGCCCCAGCAGCCGCACGCACCGCCGCCGCACCTCCACTCGCAGACGCGAGTCGTCACTGCCCAGCCAGCCCTGCAGGCTGCGCAGCACACTCACGTCACGAGCCACCTGCACGCACGGGGCGAGTGCGATTGGGGGAAGGGAGAAAGGCATGGCTGCAGAGGTTGCTTGCTCCGATCCTTCCCAGCAAGTCTTTCATTCGTGCAAGAGCACATGTACGAGCAAACACAAGTGCACACAATTCCCCCCCACGCCCCCTCTCCCCTGCACCCTTCCACACAGACAGAAGCACGCACCTGCTTTTACATGAGCATCACGCCTGCATCCACGATGATGTGGCATTCCAGCATCTTGCTTTTAAGATGCCTCAAAAAGAAAAGAAAAAAATGTAAATAAAGAAATAGACGTTCCAGGCGGGCACCTGCTTGTAGACGAGCATCATGTCCGCATCCACAATGATGTGGCACTCCAGCATCTTGCGCAGCAGCGACGCCTTCTCCGTCATGTAGCGATCAATCAGCGAGAACGCATACGCCTTGAGTGGCGCGTACTGGTACCGCGTCAGATCCAACAACACCTCTAGCATGTACGGCAGCCCTCCCTCCGACACCCGCTCCACAAGTGCACTCAGCGCCGGCCGCTTGAACAGCTGCCCACTCAAGCCCTCAAACACCGATGCATCGGGCGGGAACATGCGGAAGGTGGCGCGGCCGTGCGTCTTGAGGTTGTTGGCTTCAAGTTTGAGCCGCATGCCACGCCACATGGACTTGCGGCTGGACTCTTTTGAGGCTGCCATGGCTGCTAGCGCCACTGCAGCCAGCCCCCCCGTGCTGCCTGACTGTGGTAACCCACCCACGCCCACCCCCGCCGCGCCTGCTCCCCCCGAGCCCCCTGCTCTCTCCCCGTGAGGACTCGTGGCACCGTCGACAGCGGCTAACGCACGCGCAAGAGCGGAGTGCGAGCCGTTCACGTCCTGAGTCGCAGGGGTAGTCGCGGTGGAAGTGGCATCGAGCGTTGCTGCAGGGGAGGGAGGTGCGCCGATTGCCGGAGAAGGCACGTCGGTGGGGTCCTGTGCGGTGCGGGAGAGGTTGGCGGGCATGTCCCACGGCACTGTGGTGGCACGGTCGCCCAGGCGCGAGTAGGCGTCGAACGCCGTGGTGATGCACCAGTTGCTGCGCATGTCGAATATGTACATGAGCATGGAGCATATCACTGTCTTGGCCTGTGAGAGGTTGGGGGGGTGGGGGTTAGATGGAAGGAGAGAGCGGGTGCAGGAAAAAGGCGAGAGTGATGCTACGTGCATGTCAAATATACACATGCGCAGCGCAGGGCACATCATATGGCCCACAATGCTTGCCATGCATGCATGCTCTTTTCCCCCTTTCCCCTTCGCCCCACGCATTGCCCCAGCAGCCTCCCCAGGACCTTCAGCGTTCAACCCACCCACACCCACCTCCATGACAGTATTCATGTTTGACTCAGGATCGCTCTTGAACCGCAGGGCATCCCCGCCCGCAGCCCCATCCCCACCCCACTTCTCCGACCGGCCATCCAGCAGCGGGATCACGGCGTCCACAATGGGCGCTATCCCCTCCTCGCCCTGCCCAGAAAAGCTCCCAAACAGCCCAAACCGCAGCATCAGGCTGGCCGTCTGCAGCACGGCAAAAGTCAGAGAGCTCTGGCCGGGGCGGGAGTTGGTCTGAGCGAGCGTGGTGGAGGGCAGGAAGTCGAGGATGTTGTGCTTGAGCGCTGTGAAGCCCGGCTCCGGTGCCTTGTGAGGGAAGGCCAGGAACGGGTCTGCCATGGCTCGTGACACGTCGTCCTCCTCTGATGATTCTTCCTCCGGGAATGGTTGACGGTTGTCTATGGCCGGCCTGGCGGGTGGGGGTTGGAGGGGTGAGGAGAGAAGGGGAGGGGCGGGCATGGGAGGGAGGGACAAGAGATGAGGGGAGTGAATGTGATGAGGGGAGGTGACGGGACGAGTTGCGGGAACAGAAAGTAATGGGAGGGATGGGGAGGAGTGGGGCAAGGAATAGGAGCAGAAAGCATGGAAGTGCATCATTGAGTGGGAGGGACTAGAGGCAGATGTGATACTACATGAAAGTTCCCAGTGTGCGCAACGTTACCAGGTGAGCACAAGGCGCGTGTAGGAGCGCTCCTCAAAGGGCTCCCGGTCAATGTAGAGGTGTGTGAGGAGGCGGCAGCAGTTGGTGCGCAGGAAGAAGGGCAGCGAGGGGTTGAAGACGACCATGCGCAGCGTGTGGTAGTCCAGCCCGTACAGGTCGCTGTCCTCTATCAGCCAGTCTATCGCCTTGCGGTTGCGCTGCATGCACAGCGTGCAGAACAGCTCCAGTGTAACCACGTAGAACAGAAACAGCACCTCTGGTCGGGGGGAGAAGGGGGCGAGAAGAGGGGGAAGGGGAGTCAGGGAGCAAGTGAAAGGGGAGGAGGATGTGCAGTGGCGAGGAGAGCGAGCGAGAGAGGGTTGAATCGATTGTGCGCAGATAAGATAGCACACACGGACCTTGCGGCGAGCGGTGAATAGAGTCGGAGTGCGCGCCGAGCTTATCCAGACTCTCAAGCGCGCCACAGTCCACCACGAGCCCGTCGCGCTCCAGCAGCAGCGTCTCCTCGCCCACGCCGTTCTCAGAGGGCGCGACGCGCGCCTTGACGAGCACGTCGCTGTTCTCCTTGAGAATGTCCACCACCACGTTCTGGTTCGTGCGCACGGGCGCTCCCCCGCAGCTGCAGATGATGTTCAGGAAGCGGATGTCCCGCGGCCGCTGGAACGTGCGGCAGTTTATGATGCGCTGCCGGATCTGATGTGGGGGGGAGGGATAGGGGGGGCAGGAAGGGGGAAGTGGAGGGAGAAGGGGGTCGTGTGGGAAAGGGATTGTGGAGGGGGGAGAGGGTAGTGAAGCGATGATGGCAGAGGGGGGAGGGATGAACACTCAGTAGTAAACGAGCTGTAAAAGTATAACGTCGCACATACAATGCTATACCACCAGCAGCAGTGCGCACGCATGCATTCCGCATATTAGCATCATATCTCATGCTCCTCTATTCCTCCTCTCTTCCCCTCACTCCTTCCCTGCCCTCCCAACCTCCCTTCCCCCCACCCATCCGTCCTTCTCTCACATTCTCCGCAGTCACGGACGAAATGATGTGCTCATTATCAGCCACAATGGCCATGAGCGTCGCCGTGCCCCATCATTGACATTCTATCGCATTCAGCTCCACCCATCTCCTTGACTCACATTCTCCACGGTCACGGACGAGATGATGTGTTCATTATCAGCCACGATGGCCATGAGAGTCCCAGACGTGTAGATCTCGTTCCCCACGAGCTGCTCCAGCAGCGGGATGTACGGCGCCAGCTGGTCTTGATTCGGCCGGCACCGCCGGCACGCCGCCTGCAGGTAGCGGTTCACGAGCTTGCAGAGACGGCGCACGTCGAAGCCGCCGAACAGGTGTGGGTGCATGATGCTGTTCTGGGGAAGGCCCTTGCGGATGAGGAGGGTTTCGAGGATGGTCATCACGCCTGTTAGTACCTTCTGCTCCCGCTGGAGTACCTGTTTGGGGGAGGGAGGGAGGTGAGTGAGGAGCAGGGTGGGTAGAGGTGGGGACAAGGGGAGGAATGGCTGAGGGTGACAGGGTAGAGGAGTGCAGACGCAAGCATGGCAAATAAGGGTGAACAGAGAAGAGTGCATGCAGCATAGCATGCCCAAGGCGAGGCATGGCATGGCGTGGTGTGGCCTGGCGTAGTGTGGTGTGGTGTGGTGTGGTGTGGAGTGGACGGGGAGGGGAGGAGCAGCACCTGGTAGACTTGGTTGGGAGGGCCTCTGAGGTTGAGCACATCAGGCATGTCAGACACCACCAGCGCGCGAATCAACCGCTCCAACTGCTCCGACACTGCCGGGCTGCCAGGAGGACGTGGAGTGGTGTGGAGGGAGATGAGAAGTGGTTGAGAGATGTGCAGAGAGGTGGGGGGGGATGAGGGATGTCAGGCTGGAAAGGAGCGGGGAGGAGTTTCGAGAACGAAGCAGAGAGTGAAGTGGAATGCAGTTACAGGGAAGGGCAGCAATCCATTCTCAGGATAGGCAAAGCAGAATACGTACCCGTATTTGAGAAGAACTTGCAGGAGGCCAGAGGAACGAATGCTGCGAGAGAAGGGGGTTCACAAGGTGGGGGTGTGGGAAGCGGCTATTGCAAGTTCAGAAGCTGGCAACGACTGCTCATACTGACTAAGTGACGATGATGGCTGGCAGAACTTTGCATGAAAGAGAAGAACCAGACCACAAGCAGACGAAGATCTGTGACCCGCCCTGCACCAATCTATGTGTCATTCCCTTGGCATACCATACCACCCCCTTAGGTCCACAGCACCATTGCCCACAAGCACAACTGTGGGCAGGGGGCGGAGAGCACGTGGCACCTTTTCTTGAGCTGGTAGTCGTCCGCGCAGGGCTCGATGTCGTCCACCCTGTCTAGCGCTGCTACGAAGTTGCGCACACACGCCGCCGAGTGCGCTTGCTGCACACACGCACGGTGCATGTGGGGTGGGGAGGAGGCGCGATATGTGAGTGGAAGGAACGAAACAGGGCATATGGTCGGTTCTGCATGCGCTGGAGAGTCAATGGATGGGTATGGCATGGGGATGAACAGTGTGGTATGGGGTGGGGAGGATGCAGGGTGGCATGGGGTAGGTGGATAGGATGGCAGTGCAGTGAGTGGGTGGGTGGGTGGGATGGCTTACCGTGCATGTGAGCTTGACTGCTTGGTGTGAAGCGACCTCAAAGACCAGTGCGTCCTGATGCAGTATGAGCACACACACACACACACACACACACACACACACAAGGCGCACACCAGACACTCCACACACACTCCCCCATCATGAACGCACAATACACCCATCACACACCCAACATACACCCACCACGCACCCATCATGCATCCATCATGCCCCACCATGCACCCATCATGCGCCATGCATGCGTGCACCATGCATACACCCACGCACACATCCACACAAGCCAAACGACCATGCACCAAGACAAGCCCCCTGAAACACGTGAGCAAAGGCTCCAAGAAAGGCAGCAAGTGAATGAAACGAGGAGCAGGCACAGAGGAAAAAGAGCGAGCATAGGGGGAAAGCAGAGGGGCATGGGAGCCTGGGAGGGCAAGGCGAGCTGACCTTCTGGTCCCAGGACTGGGTGAGGCCTGCCGACTTGCGCTCGTACAGCGAGTCGAGCTGCGCCAGCAGCGCACGGCTTGACGAGTCCCCCGCTGTCATTGAGTACTCTCCCAGGCCCCCTGACACATACCCGTGTACGCCCTGGGGAGAAGAGGGAGAGGAGGAGCAGGAAGGTGGGGAAGAAGAAATGAGCTGATGGGGGGTTGATGGGATGATGCGGAGGAGGCGAAGGTGGGTCCGCATATGGCAGATGAGAGAGCGAAAGAGGGATAGTGTAGGGAGGGAAAGAGAGCATTTGCAGATACGCATGGAGATGAAGCATGGTTATCTAGTGTAATGTGATGGTGACGAAGGAAAGAGCACAGTGAGAAAGAATTAGGAGCAGAGGGGCGTGAGTACCTGGCAGCGCAGCAGCGACTGATAGAGCACGGCAGACTTATCATAGCCCTGCACAGGCGAGATGGAGAGGGCCACGTGTAAGCACACAGCACTATCCATGCGTCAGTCACAAACATGCACATGCATGGGATTAGATGTCTCAGCAGAATTGTATCAAGCAGGCTCGAGGTACGAGAGGAGAGGGAGAGAACGGACGATGGTAAACGAAAGGGGCGAGAGGGCTAAAGGCAGGAGGTAGGGGGGCGGAAGAGAGTGGGGCATGCCTGAGTGACAGCTCCGATGGTCCATATGGTGCTGGGCTTGCGATACAGGTCCGTCACTGTCAGCGCTCCACTGCACGATGCAGCCGTAACGAGAGGCACGGGCGGGAAGGGGGAGCGTGGTGGTGTAACGTACAACGTACAGGTGAGCCAGTCATAACCAGTCAGCCAGCCATCATGGACTTGTAAGCACACCACAAATGAGCATGCGGGAGCGGAGTGTCAGAATGGTGCAGTGCGGATGCCACAGAGAAACTTCACAAGCTGCTGCTATTGGCAGCTAGGTATTGGAGTGCACAGAGCTATGTGGAGAGGGGACAAAACATGTGAGGCCATGAGAAGAAACGAGCGCAGAGGGAGCAGCAGGGCAGGGCAGGGCAAAAAGCACATGCCTGAAGTCGTCTAGGCGGAGGTCCTGAGAGCTCTGCGGCTGGCGCTTCGACTCCAGGAACAACCCCGATGCCAGATGGCGCAGCGTGAAGCCCTGTAGGGGGAAGGCGAAGGGCACGGCCCAGGGGGGAGACGGAGGGGTACGGAGTGGGCGGGGATGAAGGGTGTGAGGGGGAAGGGTTTCTTTGGGAACAGGAAGGAAGTCACGACACATGGATTTAATAAAGCATATTTTACAGGCGGTGCAGGAGAGGAGTCTAGGGTGCGGTGCATGCATGGGAATGACCTGGTCATAGGGCAGAGGGCGGCCTCCCCACTCCACACACGTGGGCTGCACCATCCACAGCGCGTTGGAGCTCGGACCCCCATCCTGGTGCATGCACGAATTGGAACACAGAAGAGGAGGTAACAAGTGGAAACAGGAGCAGCGGAGTGGTGTGGAGAATGCAGGTGCAAGCTAAGCTGGTTGCAGGAGGAGGGTGAGAGCAACAAAAAAAGGGCATTAAAGGAATCAATGAAAGGAGATGAGCATGAAAGGGTGTGTGCGTGTGTGTGCATGGGACGGGTAGGGGCAAGGAGGGTTTACCTGCTTGCGGGCTTCAAAGACGACTTTGCCCTCATCGCACACCAGATTCATCTCACTCGCCCTGCCAGCGGCACGAGGACCAGTGGTTGCAGGACATAAGAGAAAGAGCCGGTGCATTTAATTAACAAGGCGAAGATGATGGATAGATACACATTGGTTAGCCACTCGCCCTCGTGGTCTGCAATCCAACACAATGGCCGGCCGGCCTTCCAGTTCCGCACCCACTGTGTCCTAACATGCCCACCAATGTGTGGCCCATACCCTCCCGCCCACATGCCACAACCCATGGTGCTGAGCTGTGGCACCTGTGGATGAGCATGACGGCATCTCCTCCCTTGAGCAGCTGCCGTGCATTGGGGATGCGAGACTCGTGCAGGGCGAACGGGATGATGCGCCACCCCGCCATCTCAGGCCCTGCGTTCACCTGCAGAGGGCGGGAAATGGGGCAGGCAGGCATGGTGAGTGAAGGGACGAGCGGGGTAAGGGGGCTACGTGTGCAGGAGGGTAAATGCAGATGGACACGTGATTGCAATGTGATGGGGAAGAACAGCCAAGGGACGGACGGTGCATGCAGCACACGGTACTTGGTGCATGGTGCATGGTGATTGATGTATGGTGCATGGTATATGGTGCATGGTGCATGGTGATTGATGTATGGTGCATGGTATTTGGTGCATGGTGCATGGTGATTGATGTATGGTGCATGGTATATGGTGCATGGTATATGGTGCATGGTGCATGGTATATGGTGCATGGTGCATGGTGCATGGTGATTGATGTATGGTGCATGGTATATGGTGCATGGTGCATGGTGATTGATGTATGGTGCATGGTATATGGTGCATGGTGCATGGTATTTGGTGCATGATGCATTGATGTATGGTGCATGGTATATGGTGCATGGTGCATGGTGCATGGTGATTGATGTATGGTGCATGGTATATGGTGCATGGTGCATGGTATTTGGTGCATGGTGCATGGTGATTGATGTATGGTGCATGGTATATGGTGCATGGTGCATGGTATTTGGTGCATGGTGCATGGTGATTGATGTATGGTGCATGGTATATGGTGCATGGTGCATGGTATATGGTGCATGGTGCATGGTATATGGTGCATGGTACATGGTGCATGGTATATGGTGCATGGTGCATGATGTATGGTGCATGGTGCATAATGTATGGTGCATGGTGCATGGTATATGGTATATGGTGCATGGCGCATGGTGATTGATGTATGGTGCATGGTATACGGTGCATGGTGCATGGTATTTGGTGCATGGTGCATGGTGATTGATGTATGGTGCATGGTATATGGTGCATGGTGCATGTTATATGGTGCATGGTGCATGGTATATGGTGCATGGTGGATGGTACATGGTGCATGGTATATGGTGCATGGTGCATGGTGCATGATGTATGGTGCATGGTGCATGGTATATGGTATATGGTGCATGGTGCATGGTGCATGGTGCAGGTGCATGGTGCATGGTATATGGTGCATGGTGCATGGTGCATGATGTATGGTGCATGGTGCATGGTATATGGTATATGGTGCATGGTACATGGTGCATGGTAGATGGTGCATGGTGCATGGAGCATGATGTATGGTGCATGGTATATGGTATATGGTGCATGGTGCATGGTGATTGATGTATGGTGCATGGTATATGGTGCATGGTGCATGGTATTTGGTGCATGGTGCATGGTGATTGATGTATGGTGCATGGTATATGGTGCATGGTGCATGGTATATGGTGCATGGTATATGGTGCATGGTGTATGGTGCATGGTATATGGTGCATGGTACATGGTGCATGGTATATGGTGCATGGTGGATGGTGCATGATGCATGGTGCATGGTGCATGGTGTTTGGTATATGGTGCATGGTGCATGGTGCATAATGTATGGTGCATGGTGCATGGTGCATGGTGCATGATGTATGGTGCATGGTGCATGGTATATGGTATATGGTGCATGGTGCATGGCGCATGATCTCTCACTTCTCTGGTATCTGCAACGTATGGGTGTGCGCCCATGACTGTAGTGTCGCATGACCCCTCCGAGACTCGTAGACTGCCATGAATGCATGCAGCATCACACCGCACTCCCACACACGCACACATACCCATGAAATCAACAGTTGTTATCGCAGGTGGAAGGGAGCGCAGGAAGGGAGGAGAAAATTAGCACAGAGCACCATCAGGGTTTGAGGTATCGGGTTTAGGGAGGGACGGGGGGTTGAAGGCAGAGGGTAAGTTAGAGGGTGTAGCTGGAAGCATGCAACAGCGACAAGAAGAGCGAGTCAGGGGGATTGTTGCGATTGACAAGAAGGAAGGAGGAAATGAACGAAACCATGATGGTCGAGAAACTATCACTAAAATGAGCTGTCTTTATGGTGGATAGAGTATCGTGGCCCACCCAGCCCCGTTGAACTTGACACTTGTGAAGGTCGCTGCATCCCCGAACGCCACGTGCTCTCCTTCCCTCTGGGCCACGTATACCAATATGAGCGGAGGTGGAGGCGCGAGGGACAATAAGTGAAAAATAACCAGACATGGGGGAAAACATTGGGAACAGAGAGGAGAAACAGAGGGGAGGAAGAAAAGGGGATAACAGAAAGGAAAATAGGGGGAATGACGGACAAGAAAAACAGAGGGGGAAAACGACAAGGAAATACATAGGGTTCCAGGGGACAGACGGAGAAGAATGGCGACAGTACGAACAGACCACTGCGGTACTAAGTTGTGCAAACTGCACTGCCCGCCTCACCTTGATCTTGTAGGTTGGAGTGACACAGAACCAGGAGCCCATGTCTCCACCTTTCTGCAGCACCACCTGCCACATCAGCACAACAGATGCGTCTCAGAATAATGACTGCACTGCACATGTACATGTTCTCGGCCCAAACCGGCGCAGCAAACAGCACTATCGCCCCTACAATGCATAGCAAACGGTTAAGTCCGTCTCCAGGGAGCTGCTTGGCTGTCCCCACACCATACAGGCCTTACACGCATAAGCGGGAGGAGGAGGGGGAGGAGAGGACGGCAATGCAGCAGGGCATGGCGGCAGTACCTTGAGGTGGGACTTTTCGAGCTCGGACTGGGTGCGCTTGACAGTGAGGAACTTGTGGCTGGACACGTGCAGCAGCTGCACCACCTGCCCGTACAGCACTGGGCTGCCCACCGACCGCACAAACTCCGCTGCGAGCACACCGTGTCAGGACGTACCATGCCATACCATGCCATACCATGAAAGCCGTGCCAGTCGCGTAATATTGGGAGCGTGCAATGCGAACGAACAGGCACAGGACGGGAGATATGGAGGGGGGCAGGAAAGGGGGGCAGGGAAGGGTAGGTGAGTGAAAGGTGTGGCGTGCAAAGGAGCGCATGACGATGGGAGATAGACTGCAGTGGAATGTGGACTGGAATGCGGGTAGTGCAAACAAGTAGAGGAGGCAGGGAGCGAGAGCAGCAAGGCACTGTTGAAGAAGTAGAGGATGGAAAGGATATGAGCTTGTTGCGTACCATTGTTAAACGCCTGCTCTGCTTTACTGGCACCTTCCCCCTGGAAAAAGAGAGAGAGGACCATTAGAGCGGAGAGCCAGACAAACAGACACGCAGCCAGTGGCACAGCACAGCACAGTACAGCATGCACACGGAGGGGCACAGAGGGAAGACAGAGCCCGGGGGCAGCTGAATGAGAGCACAAGCCTTGGGTGTTGGCTTAGCACGAACACGGATACAGAGACGTATGTAGTAGCATGCCCATCAATGCAGCACGCCCTTCAATGCAGCACAACTTTCAATGCAGCAGCACGCAGGGCGAGCCGGGGTGTAAGCTGAAATGACAGGTTGCAGCAGTATGCGGCGGTGGGTGCACCTCCTTGGGTGGAATGTGGCCCGGGCGGGCGACGCTGCTGCCGTGCGCGTCGTCCTTGGTGTTCCACAGCGAGTACTGGTACTTGATGCGCACCTGCCGGAGGGGTTCAGCGGGGTAGAACAGTCACGCGTCAGGGCAGCAGATGGAAATGCCACGCTGTGTGGGGTACGGCTGAAGCGGCGTTTCCAGCAAGACAGAATGCGACGAATCGCTAAACTAGACACGTTCTGTATTTATGGAGAATAACAGCGGACAGCAGGCATTGCCAGCGAATTCTGGATGGATGAGGCCGCCGTATTGAGACTGAGAGCGATGATAGACAGATAAATATTGAGGGAAGATGCGGGGGGGGAGAAAGGCAAAAGGAGACGATTGCGGGGAGAGAGTTCGCCGGGTGACGCAATGCAGGAAGAGAACGCATTGCGGTTGTCAAAACGAGGGAACGCCCTTGCGACGCTGCTAGATCGCTGCTACAGCGCTGCGGCGCCCAGAGTCTAGCGACAATCGCGCTTCGCGTACTTCAAACTTGGCGTTATCGAGGCAAGGTGGGACGTCCACGTTATCGTCCAGAATCTCGCATCGCACTCGCTCGTCCACGAGGCCTGACCCCGTCAGGTACCCGTGCAGATCCATGCATCCCAGACACACCACGTCGCCATACGTCAGCTTCTCGCTCTCCATTCCGCCGCTTGTGACTACCGAATCCCGCACACGCTAAAGTCAGCTGAAATAAATGACGTCGATCTGATGCGTGCCACTAAGAAGGCCGGATTCGACCTGATAAATTAAACCGAAGGAATGCTCTGCCTGCCATTACGCGGCATGGCGGTCTTCCCTAATCGTTGCTCTCTAGAGGTAAAGCCTAGAAGGTTGACCGAATGATCGGTCAAAAATACCCATATCGATGTGCCAACCAACCAAACGGAACAGATTACAGGTGGAGCGGCCAGTTGCTCCAGCGGGCGGGTAGAACAAATCACACGCACGGCCAAGTTCAAATCATCAGATGCTGACGAAATCCCATCGTTAGGAGGGGATCAGTCACTGACAACCAGTGACCCACGGTAACCTTGGACAGACATCACGAAAAGGTTGGCTGCGGAAAAGCGGTGGTCGAGCTGCTGCTTCTGCCGAAAACCCATCACATCATGCTGCTGTGCTGACTGCTCAATAACGAAACACAACTGTGAAGGAGACCCGCGTGATGGTCCCCAACCGAGAGAGTTTCCACACCACACATGCTTGGCCTTGCCCTTGAAAGTAGCCCTGCTGCTGTACAGTAAACGCGATGTCACGACTGCCGGCGGGTAACCATCACTCCGACTCGTCGTGTCCTTATGATTGGCTCGCGACAGGGTGGATGAAGCGAGGGGCTGCTTCATAACACATGGTTCAAAGAAGCAAGCAAATTTGACAAAATCTACACACATCTCCTTCTAGTAACAAATTATGTGTGTTGTGAACTAGTGAGACGTTGGACAGCACTTCCCAGCTTAAAGCCTTAGTTGTGAATGCTTAAAAGCACCTCGCCATGTAAGATCACAAATGCTACAAGTGAATGAACCAATCTATGAACGATGTATCACGTCACCGCAAGTCACTAAGCACAATGGCATGTATAAACCAAGAGCTGTGTGCCTGATGGGTGTCCCCAATTTCTTCATGGGATTTGGCGATTGTACGGCATGTCTGATCCAAGAGCCTTTCTCTCCTCCCTCTCCAACTTGATCTGAACAAACAAGAAGTCAGCAACGGAAGGAGGAATGAGAGGATAGAACAAGTAATGGCCCACATCTCCCTGTACACAATGCCAGCTCCGCACGCCACTTCCATACACAACGTCTTCCTTTTTTCCAGCCCTGCTACCAAATTGCCCTATCATGCATAACAGAATCTAAGTGACTGACAATGCATCGCACACAAACGCAGGAGAAAGCAGCCTGAACAGAACAATGGGTGTTGCAATGCAAGGAACGGGTTGGCGTACCTTATGGAGCTCCTTCTGCAGGTAAGGCTGGAACGGCGTTTGCTTTTCCTGAACACAAACGGAAGCGGCAAACCACAACACAACAACCAATCAGGCCAAGAGGTGAGGCACGGTTACAGGGACGAATCAGGTGTTCTCACTGCCATGAATCAAAAGACCTAGCAGATGAAGATGCATCGTAAGTACCTCCGTGAAGCAGATCAGGAACTTAGAGCGGGTGAAGGTACCTGAAGCTCCTTGGGAAGGTGGGTGTGCTTCATGGAGATGTCAATGGCACGCTTCAGCCGTTGGTTCCGCGCGTCTACCTCCGCTTGAGGCAGCCGCTTGAGGGCTTCGGCAACGTCCAGGTCGTAATACGGATCGTAGAGATCGTCATACCGAAGACCTGCTCATCACGGGGCGAAAATGTACAGATCTGGTAAGTACCGGTGTAAGAAGTATCTGCTCGCGAAAACAATTCAAAAACACGTTTTCTTCTGAGAGAAAGCTTGTGCTTAAGCACGACTAAAATCATCCGTGCCGGCACCAGATCGTACCGTATTTTTTCAGTTGAGCGCCAACGATACCACGGTACCAATGGGACGCCCAGTTGAACGCGGGTTCGGTGAGCTTGTTCAGCGTCTTGGCTAGACCAGCCATGGCTGAGCTAACGGGATCACACAAGCCGCCAGATACCTAGACGATGCTAAACTGCTGCTAGGAGGGTTCCCACAAGCCGTAGTTGCGCGGTGGTGACAAGACAAAGTTGTGGAAGAGCCTCGAGCACACCATTCTCAACTTTTCCAACTGGGTGTTACATGGTAGCGTTACATTTTTCTCTTAGTGAAAAACCCGTTTAGCTACATTGCACGATTTATCAAAATATGATGGGGGTTTACTAATGTTGATTCAAGCACTTCTACCACGTATCTCTCATGACATGAAGGCTGCATCACACCCATGGGCCTGTGTTGGCCAGTGTTACTTGTTGCACTACTATGTCTCACATCGAAGCTACACCAACCAACCAAGGGTTTCCCCACTCCCACACACAATTTGTGCAACATTTTGTACCCTCAGCGCAAGTTGTTCCTTAACGCATCGCAGGATTTTCCTCGCTCCCCATGCTCCGCCTCCGTCTCTCTCAGTTTTTGCCCTTCTCTTTGCGAGATCATCGAAGTCACCTAGAATTCAAAACACATGAAAAAACAGCATATTGAAGCCAGAGGGCCTTCCATTCCATACATGAACTTACATAAAACTTGCACCAATGGCACCGTGGTCCATGACAACTGGTACACTCTTAGCTTATAGACTCCCACATCCCACGCAATCTCACCTCTCCCAGGCTCCAGCCCCTCCCTGCTGCCCCGCCCACCCTCCCCCTACATACTCCTCCACCGCTTCACCCTCATGAAACACCTTCAGCCCACACACCGCCCCTCCTGCTCTCCCTCTCCGTGCCCCTCCCTCCCAGTCAATACTAGCCAGCGTGGCGTTCCCAAGCAGCCCAGCAAAGTACGCAAAGGTGCTCATATAGGAGCCGGCTTCAATGAGCGTGTGAGCCTTGGCCATGAGGAAAAACTCTGCCATGGTGGGCATGCGTTGCCTCTCCATGTCCGTGCTTGCAGTCTTGGACAGATGCACGATGGACCCTGTCGAGTAGAACACCGACCCTAGTCGTGCTAGTCGCCGCACAAACTCAGGCCGGAGAGCCTCGTTGTCTGTTGTCAGGAGGATCATGAGAGGTCCACTGCTGCTGCTGCTGCTGCTGCTGCTGCCTCTGTCTCTGCTGTTGCTGCTGCTGCTGCTGCCGCCTCTGGTTCCCCCACCTGCTGCATCTCTTGCCATGCTCCGTGCTGCCTTATCCTGTTGAAGCTTCTCTAGCAAAGACGCAATGCAGTCCCACAGACACCCCTTGAGAAACTCGTGCGTCTTGCCCTTCTTCCCCTTGCTCCCCGCACCCGCCTCCTCCTCGTCCTCCTCCGCATCCTCACACCCCACTCGACTCAACTCCTCGTCCCCGCGCCCCCGAATCTGCTCAATCGCAGCAGGCCGCGTGCGGATGTGCAAAGCAACGTCAAACATGTCCCCATCCGCCACTCCCTTCTGAGACGGCACGGGGGGTGTCCCCTCCCCCATGTGCTGCAGCAGCACCTGCCCCACGACCTCCTGCAGCAGGCGCGAGGGGCCGAGAATGAGCTCGTGGATGGCGCGGGAGTGCACACACCAGAGGGAGGAGCAGCGGAAGGCGGAGAAGACACAGGCCTGCACGCGCGGGTACAGCTGCCAGAAGCCGTCAAAGTGTGACGGTGACTTGCTCAGCATGATGGGGCCTGTGAAGCCCAGACTGCCCTTGATCTCTGGCAGGACATAGAGGGGACGTGTGTGCGTTGTGGTGGGGCGGGCGGGGAGGGGAGAGGAGAATTGAAGAAGACAGTGAGCAAGTGGGTGGGATAGGAGAGATCTAATCGACACCATAGCACAGTGAGGTGGCAGGCAGGCAGGCAGGCAGGCAGATATTGGAGAGGGTAGAGGACCAAAAAGGGCCATGGCAGCCGGTATGCCAAATGTGAGTCTGCAAGGCAGGGTCATGGCAGGACAGTGCGGGAGAGGGCGGAGAGCAGCAGCAGGGAGAGAAGTCCAGAGACTCACTGCCAGAAGTCTTGAAGGCGGACTGCAGCTGCACGGGCTGCATTTTAAGGCCCTCAAAATACACCTCAGTGCGGGGAGTGTGGGGACTCACTGCCGGACGTCTTGAAGGCGGACTGCAGCTGCACGGGCTGCAGCAGCTCCAGCTGGCGGTACACACCCATGGTGCCGCCCCATGGGCCCGACTCGTTGGACCACCGGATGGCGTCGAAGCCACACGTGAACGCCGCACACAGCGTGTCATACACCTGCCCATAGCCGTGCCAACACCCATGAACATGCCCATGCACGTGCCCGTGCCGGTGGCGGCCGCAGCGGCAGTGGCAGTGGTGATGGTGGTGGTGGCAGTGATGGCAGTGCGATGCAATCAGGAGGAAAGAGATTGCGTTGCTGGAATCGACGGAGGGCATGACAGATGAGGAGGATGTGAGACAAAAAGTAGAGCTCACCAACGTGTTGCTTTTAAGGCAAAGCACAACTCTGCCCTCTGTCCTCTACGCTCGGTCCATCACCCATCACCCACCACCCAACACCCTGCAACCATCCCCACCACTCAGCACCCAGCGGCACCTTGGCATGCTCGGCAGCGTGCAGGCGCACGAGGCGGCGGCCGGCGAGGCGGGCATAGACGAAGGCGGAGACGTAGCCGCGCAGGCTGTTGCCCAGCCCGTGCCGCGGCATGAACAGCAGCACCCGCCGCTGGCCCCCCCTCAGATCCGCCACCGCTGTTATGGGCTGCCTGGGGGGAGGCACAACGGGGACGATGGGGGGAAGGGGGGATGCAGGGGGGGGGAGTGGACGGGAGTGGGGAGAGGGAGGAAATAGGGAACGTGTTTGGGGGTGGGGGGAACGGGGAGACGGGAGAGAGTGGGAGACTGGAAAAGGGGCAAGGGTTGGGAGGAAGTGGAGGCGGTTTGGAGGGCGGATGGCAAGATTATCTAGGGAAGGGAAGGATGGTGCGTAAGGAGGCAATGCGATATGAGAGATGGGAGACAGGAGACAGGAGATGTGCGCTGCAATGAGCGCGCGCGCGTGGGGCGCACACGCGGGACGGACTCACTGGTTGTCAACAAAGTAGAGTGAGGGTGCAATGATGCCACGGCACACAGCCTCTGACACCACCGAGATCTCCATGTGCCGCACGTACGGCGTCAACCCCACCGCACCCTCCCCCTCCCCCTCCCCCTCCCCCGCGCCCCCGCCCGCGCCCGCGCCCGCGCCCGCGCCCGCGCCCGCGCTCCCCCGATCCACCCCTCCCCCCTCGTCACTCCGCGCCCCTCTCCGTTCCCATTCCGTCGCTCCCAGCCCTTCATCCTCCTGAATGCCCCCGCCCGCCCTCCCCACGCCCTGCAACCTGCTCGCACCGGTGCCACGAATCGCATCCGAGCTGGCAGATCCTACTTGTAACGCGGTGCGATTCCCCCGCCCCCTCACTTCAACCAGATTCCCCCCCGCGCCTTCCCCCGAAGCTGCGCCTTTGGCGGAAAACCCCCGCGCGCCCCATCCCCCCGCAAGGAGGGCGCCGCGGTCGGTATCGGACCAAAGGAGCGGAAAGTAATGGCCGGCGAAATTCGCGAGGAGCAGCAGGAGCACGAACCGCAGCGGCCGCGAGGGAAGCGTGTCGAGTGTGTCGAGTATAGGTGCGGTCACGCCGCCGCTTCCGCCGCCGCCGCCGCCGCCTTGGCCGTAAGCGAAAGATCGCTTCGGTGCCATGCGGTGCTAATGGTGACTAGGAGTCGAGATTCGGGCCCATGTCACAAGACAAATCGACATCTTCTAACAGAAAGTGAGGATTACATGGATTGACGAACGGGATTCAAGACGGTCACAGTACCTTGTTGTGATGATCAACAGGAGACTAGACTAGCGGCGTCGCAGCGAGAGTTACGGTGGTAGGTATCGAAGGTAGTGTTTTGAGCTGCCTCAGCAACACAACAAGACTAGTGAAGTGAGTTGAAAATATATTTCGCTGCGGACAGCTTCGTTACTCCGTTTGTGTTTGCCAAAGAAACACACATGTAAATCTGACAAACAGTAGAGCTCATTCTCACGCCTCAAAAGTTGGAAACTTGAGTGCTGGTGCGCGCGACTTTTTGGCGGGGAACTGCGTGTCCCTCCATCCGCCAACCATTTACTCGTTTGAATTCTCGTGTCGTCGTGCCTTCATTCGTGTGCTTGAAGCCTCCTTTCTATCCTCTCCACAGGTTTCCCCCTCCCCACTACGCCCTTCGAGCACTCATATGCCGCACGGAGCACTGCCCTTATCCCAGTTGACCTCTCTGCTTGTGCCAGTTTTCTTCTCCTCCTTTTCCCCCCGTTACAACAGAGTAGTGCATACCTAATCGCCGCTGGCGCTGCCGCTGCTCGTGCTGTTGTTGGGAAGAGCCTATATAGTGTGTGCTTTCTGCTGTTTCTTAGTTACCACTCGTCAGCATCCCCTCCCACCTCAATCGGCCGTTTCATGAGCGTTTAGTAACGTTTAGTATCAATCTATTATAGTCTAGTAAGACAAGGTTGCTAGCTAGTATCCCGCCTCTCTATCTCGCGCGCGCCCGGAGCAATTGCACGCATGGAGGAGGCGGAAGGCGGGTTGACGGCGTACGAGCGCCTGCGCCAGCAGATCCAGGAGCGCAATGCGGCGAAACTTCGCCAGCTCGGCGTCACCGCGTCCGCGGAAGACCTCACCACCGCGATCGCCGCCAAGAAGCGCGCCGCGCCGTACGTGGGCAAGGCTCTTAGCGCGGATCATACTATCAAGGAACTAGATATCTTTATATTGGACTGCGGTCCATTTATTTTGCACACGCCCTTGCTTCACTCTCAACGCCCTGACACTTTCCGCCGCTGAATTATCATCCTCTGCTACCTCCTCCTTTCTCTCCCCCTTCTCCTCTTTCCGTTTCCGTCTCATTCTTTCTTGTCCTCCGCGCCACGCCTTTCCCCGCGCAGTTCCCGCCCCAAGCCCCACCCCACGGAACCGCAACAGCCTTTGCGCCGATCCCTCCGCAATCGCGGCATGGCTCCGGAAAACGCCCCCGCGGATGGCGGTGGGGGCGGGGGGGCTGTCTCCGCCAGCGCTGCCGCTGTCATCGCGGAAGAGGTTGCGCCGAAAGGGCATTTGCCCGCGCGGAGTTTAAACCGCGAGGCGGAGAAGGACGCGGCGCTTATGCGCGTGTTGCGCGCGCGCATGGTCCCGCGGGGCTTTGCGCTAGAGACAGAAGAGACTTCCGGGGACGAGGGCGGGGAGGAGGGGGAAGAGGAGCGCAAGCGAGAGGGAGACCTCGGGGCGCAAGGGGGGAGTTTTGTTGAGCCACCTGAGGGGGAGAAGGGCGGCGTGCGGAGATCGAAGCGGGGCGGGCGGGGGAAGGCAAAAGAGGCGGAGAAGGCGGATTCTGACGAAGTGAGCGACGGCGCGGGGGGCGTGCGGCGGTTGCCCCTGTCCGGAAAGCGAGTGAAGGGGCGAGGAATAACGGGGGTGAAAGAGGGAGAGGGCGAGGGAGGAGGGGGAATGCATGGCGTGAAGGGGACTGCGGTGAAGGAGGAGGTAGGGGAGGAAAAGGGGGAGAGTGACGTGATTAGAGAGCAGGGGCGGGCAAGGGAGGCGGTGGAAGCGGGGAGGTTGCAACTGGCGGAGGGCGATGTGTGCAAGCTGACCAAGGAGCGGATTCACAACGTCATCATGCTGCCCTTCCGGTATGACTTTCGAGGTGCCTAAAAAAGCATGCTGCCCGTCCAGGTATGACTTCCGGTATGCTGGTGCTGGATGCCTGCCTCACTGCGTCAACAACAACTGTCACCGCCTTAACGTATCTCAAATCGCCACACCAGTCAGTCACCCCTGGTCCTTGCAAACTGAAAATATAATTTCTTGCCTCGCACTGCGTCTCTATCACTTGTTGCCTATCCCGTCCTTCCACTTGTTCACGTGGCCTGTGCGCATACCATTTCCCATCCCTTTTCTCCCTTCCGTTCCCTCCCTCCCCTCCCCTCCCCTCCCCTCCCCTCCCCTCCCCTCCCCTCCCTTCCGTTCCCTCCGATCCTTCTTCCCGTCCCTTCCATTTCCCCCGCAATGCCAGGGATCGTCTGGTGGTGGTGGCAGGGGACAAGGCAGGGCAGGTGGGCGTGTGGGACCTGGGGGACATGGACGCTAACGGCTGTGCTGCTGCTGGTACAACGGGAAGCGGCAGTGCAGATGGCAGCAGCGGCGGCAGGGCATCTGAGGATGCAACGGGCATATTCACCTTCTGGCCGCATCGCAACCCCGTGTCAGGCCTCGCGCACTGCCCTCTCTCGCTCTCCAATGTCAGTCGCTTCCCTCCCCTCCTCCCCTCTACTTCTCTGAAGTGTCTTACTTTTCCTGCTTTCTATGTCACTCCAACCTTGCCATTGGCCTTCTGTCTCCTCCTCCTCCTCCTCCTCCTCCTCCTCCTCTGCCCACGAGTGACTCATCCTCTCGTCCTCCCTTCCACTCGCCACCCCAACTTCCCCTTCCCCATTCACCACTCCCCTCCCATTCCACTCCACCAGGTGTACACGGCTTCATACGACGGCACCATCCGCTGTCTGGACGTCACTCGAGCATCCTTCCTCCTGCTGCACTCCTCCTCCCAGTTCTCCTTCTCCACCCTCACCCCCTCGCCGCCCTCCTCGCCCTTCTCGCCCCTCCTCCTTCTCGGAACCTCCTGTGGGCACCTAGTTGCCTTTGATCCTCGGGCATGCCATGGCGGCCCTGTGGGCAGCTGGGAAATTCACGAGAAAAAGGTCGGCACGATCAGCTTCTGCCCGGGGCAGGAGGAAATTATCGCCACAGCTTCTACTGACCGGACTGTTTGCTTGTGGGATGTGCGTAAGATGTTGGGCGGGGGAGAGGGAGGTGGAGAGAAGCGTAGGAAGACAGAGGAAGGGCAGGGAGGAAGCGGTGGAACTGCGTTATTCCATGCAGCTCATTCCGCGGCATCAGTCACTCCTCTCATGAAGCTGCCCCATGCCCGTGCAACCAACTCTGCATACTTCTCACCCAATGGTGCCTTCCTCGTCTCCACCAGGTGTGTGTGTGCCCTTACCATCTGCCCCTTGCATCCCTCTTGCACACCTCCCTCCTCCACCTCTCCCATTCCCACCTTCCCTCCACTTCTTTCCGTTCTTTTCACTGCTTTCGTCTCAACCCATCACCACTTCTAAATGCTTCCTCCTGTTGCCCGGTTCACCAGTTACGATGACACCATTCGCCTGTGGAAAAGAGACCAGTGGAAGCAAGCCGTTCTGGCACCCTCCAAGTCCACCCCTCCAAGCCCCAAGGTTTCCCCTCAAGCCTGCACCTACCCATTCCTTCTCGCCCCCACTTGGTCTCTTCCCATTCCTCAAGCGTGCTTGAACGGTCTACTGTCTGTGCTTGTTGGCCTCATTCGATGCAGACTCCAATGTGGTATGGCAAGCTTGTATGCACGTACTATGGTGTTCCCTATCATGCTTCCGTTTGTCGCCGCTATCTGCCCATTTATCTCGCCTCCCCGGCCTTTCCCCTCCCGTCTCCTCCTCAAGCTCCCGTCTTTCCTGCGTCCACTTTCTTTGTTCCTCACCTCCCCTGCACCAGCCGCGCATATCAAAGAAGCACAACAACCAGACAGGCCGATGGGTCTCGTCCTTCAGGTGACCCCTCAAACCTTGGGAATTCACCACCTTGTTTTTTGCAATTTACCAACCGTTTTGTTTCCCGTTATTACCCAAGCAAACAATGGGAAGCGATGAATATTTTCATTCCGTGGCCCTTCACGCACACAAATATCCATCACACTCGTCACACTTCCATAAATCCCTAACTCTAATCCCTTAGCTCCAGATTCCCTCCATATCCCCCAGAGCCGTGTGGGCGACCCCTCTGCTGCCTCCACCACCACATGGCTCCCAACCCCACTCATCCCCCTCTCCTCTCCTCACCCCCCTCCCTCCGTATCCTCCAGAGCCGATTGGGTTAGCGGCGGCAGTGAGCATGTGGTGGTGGGAGGCATGGGTCGCACTCTCGATATCCTCTCTGCTGCTTCTAACACATGGCTGCCGCCTCTCAGCAGCCCAGAGCACGACATCCATCCCTGCTCGCCTCGCCACGCACCCCTCGCTGCCCATCATCGCTGGTGGTAGCGCCAGTGGACGCGTCTTTGTGTGGCGCCCTGCTGCTGGCAGTGCTGCTGCTGCTGCTGCTCATGGTGCTGCTGCTGGTGATGCCGATGCTGATTCTGATGGTGGTGGTGGTGATGGTGAGGATGATGATGTGGTACATGTCGCTGATGCTGCTGATGGGGCGTGAGGGAGGCGGGTCAGACAAGTTCCCAAAGGCCCCTGTTTGAGGTGCTGCAGAGCACCTACCTTAGCTTAGCTAGCTCCCGGAATAGTGTAGCTCGCAACGGGATTTGGTGAAGTTCCTGTGTGTGTAACGGCGATACACTACTCTGCTAGGCCTTTGTGCCTTAATTTGTAGTTTGCAGCAGAGTGGATGTTAATGTGAAGCATGTGAACAGGCTGTTCTGGACTACTATGTCTGAGTTAAGAGGAAGAATGAAACATTATATACGTATATACACAGCTGTTTACAAGCAGCATGCACGACATGCGAGTGACAGAATCTCATCCTCTCTATTCCGAGACTTCTCAGAGTGACATTCGTTCACCATTCCCGGTGTTCCTGTGCTGCTTGGGCTGGCCAGCGCAGGGAGCCCCCATGGCCCAAGCCTGGAGGAAAGACGATCCTGTCCTGGTCCACTGCATGGTGTGTGGGTGGCAGGCAAATGTGTGGGAGGAAGAGGGGAGAAATGAGAGTTGGAGACAGCATGACAAGCAATGCACAGCATTGGAGTGAGTGGGAGGAATGAGTGGATGAGTGGGAAAGACGAGGCTGCTGTGCCGTGACAGTGACAGCCTGTGATGTGATGCGATGTGATGTGATGTGATGTGATGTGATGTGATGTGATGTGATGTGATGTGATGTGATGTGATGTGATGTGATGTGATGTGATGTGATGTGATGTGATGTGATGTGATGTGATGTGATGTGATGTGATGTGGTGCACGTGATGCTGTGTGATGCGATGTGGCATGACTCACTTGTATACCCCCCCACAACAGGGTCTGATGCCAACAGCAGCGGTGTATCCAGATCCACCCACCTGCACCAGGGGTTCACACAGAGAAAGGCACAGAGCCGAGACATGAAGGAGGTGAGGAGGAGGAAGGAGACAGAAAGACACACACACACAAACAAGCATCGCACACATCACATGAAGGTGATGCAACGGGGACATGCCCGTGTACGCAGCGTGGCGACCAGCATGAGGGCCACAAGCAGCAGTATCTAGGAGAGGAGACACGTGAGCAGATACAGGTGAAGAAACAGTGGCTGGAAGTGTTTTCTGAGAATTCTCAGAAAAGACTCACTGGAAGCACTTGAGTCCAGCAGCCATGTGAGCCGCAAACCCCATGGCAAGACGGGTCTCCACCATGCCCCCAATCATCAGCTGCAGCGGCTCTCCTCTCCTCCCCTCCGCCCTATTCGCACGCAGCACGGCAGCAATGACTCTCAGAGCGCCCACCACGCCCGTCTTGGCTAGCTTCACGTTCACGCCGGCCGCTGCTCCTTCGTGCACGATCCGCCACACGTCCCCCTCGCCCCGGCAGCTCTCATCTGCCACCACCACGGCTGAATGTGCTGCTGCGGGTGATGGCGATGTGCGGCAGGCGGTGGCGTGGTGTTGGTGGGAGAGAGCGGCCGTGAGGGAGTGCATGGCCCGCCAGTTGCTGCGATGGAATGGCTGCTCCAACACACGCGGGCTTATGCCATGCTCTGGGGGGGGGAGAAGGGCAGGGAGGGAAGTGGGGAAGTGGGGACAAGGGAGGGAGGGGAGAAAGGAGACGTAATGATTAAGCGACAAGGCTCGCTGAGCGAGCACAAAGTGAGCAGCAGGCGGTCAGAAAAGAGCAGATCCACAGCAACCAAGCAGCTACGGTCACCTGCAAGGCGCGAGAGGAGGTGCAGGACAGCAGCAGCAGTGCGGTAGCCCCCATTCGCGTCCAGCAGCAGGCAGCAGTGCGGCACTGCCTCTTGCACTGCCACCACCCGCTCCAGATCTGCCTGCACCAGTTGCGCCTCCCACCCCTCCATCACTCCCACCTCCTCCCTCCCCTCCCGCCAGCGGCGCTTCTCCCTCCCGCCCCATTCTCTCTCATCCTGACCCTGCCTGGCATGCGCAAGTTCGTCCACCAACGGTGACTGTAACGAGAGCTCTTGCAGCGCGTGTGCAGGGAGCGGCGAGTGAGAAGGGGGCAGCGCGCCGAGCTTGATCTTGAAGCAGGAAAAGCCTTGGGAGTGGTAGTTGCGGGCGAGAGACTCTGCTGACTCTGGTGAGCAGATGGGGATCTGATGCGCACAGGGGGACACGGGAACGGGGATGGTCCGGGGATGGATGGGGGGGAAGAGGGAAAGGAGAAGGTTTGAGAGACGATAGGGGGAAGGGACGAGAAGTGAAGCATACTGAATAACGCCCTTAAAAAACACTCTGTTAGGACCCAAAGCCCACCCATCGTTTCCGTGATCCCCGTGGCCCCTCAATATCCCTCCTCCGCCCCATGCTCGTGTGTGTCCTTTCTCCCTCACGTTCCCCCAGCGCCTCACTTACGGTGATATCGGTGGAGAGCGGGCGGGAAGATGAGGAGAAGAGTCGCCAGAGCGGCAGCGCGAGTGCTGATGCAAGCGCGTCTAGAACGGCCATTTCCACTCCCGCACGTGCCTTGGGGGCGAAGAAGGGAGAGCGGAAGGAGGGGAAGGTGGGGTTATAGAAAGAAAGAATGAATGTGGTTGTCAAAAGCAGTTAAACAGGCGCTTTTCGAAAATTCTCATAAACGCAAGCACATGGGTAGGCACAGTCCAAGGCTCTCGACCTTTTTTTTTTTTTTTTTCCAAGAGTTATTATCCGGCTGACGGCAAGATGGTTCACGCTTTCAGATGTACCATTCCTTTCCGTTTCATTGGATCCATACACCATCCTCTGCGGCACCACTCATTCGCAAGTTGAGTTCCATCATCCCCACGTGCTAAATCACACCACCTGGTAAGACGACCGTCACATGCGGCCATCCAAGAACTGAAATTCTGACACGAATATTTGATGACATACCGAAGCGAGCCCATGGCCAGGCAGAACCCTTTGCTCCAACCGCAGCAGCAGCTCATGCCACCGCATGGGTGGTTGCGCCACCATCCAGTCAAGTGCGCGCGCGCATGCTTCTAGAATCGTCTCCTGGTCCTCCTCCGTAACTGAAGGCAGCACAGGTGCTTCACCCCAACCCACCACTTCGATCATTCCGCCGCTTCCCCCGTTCTCCTCCGCCCCCCGCCCGTCGCCCTCCCAGCCAAACACTCCCGCTTCCTCAGATCCAGTTTCATACTTCTCTTCCCGCACTTCCAGCTTCCCCCCTGCGCAAGGGATGCGGAGAACAGCTCGGATGGCGACGTTGGGGACGGCGGAAAGGGTGGCGGAAGCGATGGTGAAGGGCTCGCGGAGCGGCACGTCGAGGGGGCGCGCCTCAAGCTGGATGATCTGCACCGGCGGCGCGGAACGCGCCTCCGCGGACATTAGGCGGAGCCATTGCGGGTCCGCTACCGGGAGGAGCGGCGGCAAAGGGGACGTGTCGGTGGCGGATCCGGTGGTTAATGACGCGACGGCTGCAGGAAGCGACGCGGCTGGGGCGCGGGAGCCGCCAGGAGTAGAGAGGGGCACGGGCGAGAAGGGGGAACGGGCGGGTGAGCCAGCGGCGGTGTCAGGAACCTCACGCGGCATGGCGGATCTGAATGACGGACGGCGGCGCGGAGAAATCGAGAACGATTGGCGCATGGGCGTCGCGAACAGGCGCGAGGGAAGGGCTCTCATATGAGGCGAACACGCCGGTACTCCCGAGGTGAACAGATCCGACTCGATACGGTGATTCCAAGTTGGAAATAAGACGTTCGACCTAGGACCTCTTTGCGAACGAGGCTGCCACAGGCCTGGTTTCCCATCGATGCGTGGAAACTTCTGCGCCGGAAGGTTGAACGCCATCACGAGCCTTTGTTCGCCAAGTCACTGACAGCCAATCTATAGAAGAGACAGATCCTAAAACTTTGGAATGTCTATAGCAATAGCATCTCATTTGCT